ATTACTTTTGTTTTCAAGCAACCATTTTCTATCATTTGATTATTATTATGTGTAGTAGGGAATTGTTGTTCAATGGTTGTTTTTTGTTCAACTGGTCAGACTTTTATTAAAACAAGGAGCTTGAAGAGAAAATGCACAAATATACAAATTTTTACTGCACAGCTGGTGTTACCAAGGTGACTGGGAAAAACGTCAGCTTTTTTACTCTTTACAGTGGCCAATTTATGTTTTCAACTCAGTTTTTAACACAAAATTACCTGACTGGAAAACAGTTAACCAATCAAATCACACAATACAGTTGATCAACCAATCATTGTACAGAATCAAAGCAAGCAAAACTAGGAAACTTTTCCCTTTCAAGTTTGTTTTGCATTGATGGTTTTCAATCCAATTATGCTTGGTTCAATCAACTTTGGCTGCTTGCATTCTTTGTAATTGGTGATATGATTAGTAAGTTTTATTGATACAGTCCTGGTAACCTTAGCAACACTGTGAAAAAATAAATTTTTGGTAATTTGAAATGTTTTTGCTTTAGAGTGAAAGACTTGATTGTTATATGTTGCTCGTTCCCACTATGTCTAATGTTCAGTGGCACATTATGATAAATAGTATATGACTACAGAATAAACTGGGAACAGGACATAAGGTAGATTTAAGTGAAGATAAACCAGCAACCATTTGTTTAAATTCATATTATGATATGTGGCATGAAATTGATGTTTTATCATGCCACTCATAATAATTATCAATAAAACAAAAGTAGTAGTTGCACAGACTAGATTGCATAGAAGGAAGCTTGTAATACCCTTTGAAGCAAAATTCAAGATTTAAATCTTGAGTCATCAAAGACTTGAGATGTTGGACTGAAAGTCCTTTTAAGCCTTAGACTGAAAGTATTTTTACATTAAAATCTCTTTGAAGAGAGACTGCCTTTTTAAATAATAATACTGTCATAAAATGTTTTGAATATGAGTTTCTTCTGACTTTCAGATAATGCAGTTATACTTCAAGCAGATGGAAAAGCACTAAAAGATATGTCCACAGAAAAACCAGCTTCTGAAGTGATAAGTGCACCTACTGATCAGTCACATGCTGATGTTTCATCTGTAAAGGTGACTATTGCAGCCTAACAATGATTATTATGATATCATGCAATTTTTTTTTTATTTGATATTGGCTGAAAGCCATTTGTATGTCGTTGTTTTGATTTAAAATTCACTTTCATCCATTACTCCATCATGTTGTCCTTCCAATTCTGTTAACTTTTTCAGTAAATCCACAGACTAGCTCATATAACTTAAGATTACTTCCCACCTTCAGAGTTGGAAAAATATGATTTTTCTTTTATTTGACTGAACTGAATTCAAACATTCAACCTAATGTTTCCAAAAAAAATCTCTGAAATCTTTAAAAGTACCCAAGATATTAAGAAAAATGTCTTTTCAAATTAAAGTTGATAATTGAGGAAGGTGTCATAATCTTGGACCTCGGCAAGTCATCTGGGAGAATTTTTGGGGTTTTGAGCAAATTTATAGGGTATATAGATGCAGAAAATTTTAGACATTTGAAGTATTTGTCCCATGTTGTCCATTTATGTAACACACCTTGCATATTTTCAGTTACTCCAACTTTAGACACCAATATCTAGACAACCAATCAGAATATCAAAAAAGCTTGACACACTTTTGTTGATTGATGCCTTGTGAATAAGACTCTGCAGCCATTTTACTCATGCTGCGGGATCCAATACCCAATAAATTCAATAGAAGAACCTGTGGTTGTTTCATGCTTTACTGGCTCCTGACTCTTGCTCAAAAGAAAAGTCACCTAAATTATATTTTTATCATAATCTGCAGTTATTAAGCTTTCTTCTGTGTACAAATTTTTTTCCCCAAAGGATACCTGCGAAGGTGGGAAGTAACCTTAAATTATTTCTATAATGTAAAGGTCTCATATATACACCTTTTTGACTCACAAAAAGTAAACTTGAACCTTCACCTTATTTTTGTTGAAGAAGGGAAAGACAAACGCTGCACTTTGAGCTATAGTTGTGGGTTCTTAATTGCTGATTACAATCAATGGTTGTGCTTTAAGCAAAATTAAATTATTTTATGCTTTTGAAGAAGGTAATTAAAAAATCATGCTATCTCTTGGTATTGATCCAGTGACCTCTTGCTTAAGAGGAGAAGCACTGTCCATTGCACCAATTTTGCTGAGCATACTTGAAGATTTCCCTGTGCCTTCTGTGTGTGAACCACAAAAATGAAATATGACCTTTCTTAATCAAAGCTAAAACTTTAATGTGAATACACATCAGTAGCCTTGACATCTCACCCTTTCATAATTCATTTTCTGAGTATAGTGATAGCCACTGCTATCTTTGTTATTTTCTAAACCACTCAAGTACTTCTTTTAGATTGAACATCAAGCTGATGATGCTAGTCTGTTATTGGTCAACACATTTCTTTAAATCTTCCTTTTAAGTCTGAAAGGATTTTTTTGTGCTTCAGAAACATTTGTTGATATTTTTTATTATTATCCAGACATCTGTAACTCCTCATCCAAAGACCACTGCTTATAGTACTGAAATGAAGGAAACATTCAATGTAACAATGAAAGTTGGAATTGAAGGTAATTTCCTGATAAGGGTAATGGTTTGAAATCTTGGAAAGAAGGTTTCATCACTGTACGAATAAGTGGATGCAATTGGCTCTCAAGAACTCAAATCTGTGAAGAAAATAAAAACAAGAATTTGAGTTTTTGAGATGTATGGAGTTGAAAGCAAGTGTTGAGAATTAAGAGCAAAATGATGTTTGTTGTATCCCTCTAATATATACATGACCAGGGTATGTTTTCATAAAATTTTTAATCAAGTTGTGAAACAAAAATGAGTTTAGAAGAAGGAGTTAAGTATAAAAAGCTTTAACCCTTCACACCCAAACATGCATATTCTCCATTTTATAACTTCTTGATACGTTTCCCAAGATGGTGACGAGGAGAACTTGTTTAACAATCAAAAGTCCTTTACATGTAGTTGGTGATCTTTTTCTTTATTCTCGAGACACCTTACTGTGTGATCCAGGGCTTGTATGGTAAGGAGAAATTAGATACTAAACACTCTTAGGGGTCAAAAGGTTGAGAACAGAGTGCATAGAGGTCAAATTTATCAAGAAATATTTGAATTTCTAAAAAAGGTGATAAATGATGGTGATAATCTTCACTTCTGGGATGAAGGTTGTGAAATTATTTGTTTCTTTCTAGCCTCAGGAACATCCCTTCCAAAGAAATTGGAAAGAGAATTGTATGGTGACAATCATACCACATATCCATCCCTGGTTATAGCTCTTGGATTTGGTCTTTTGTTCCTTTGTGCTGCTGTTGTTTTGATCGGTCGTCCTTGGTGGTTTGCATTCCACAGACCAAGATATTCCAAGGTGGATTATCTAATGAATGGACTCTGAAGCTCCCATGTAATTGTTATGTAAATATTGTGATCCACTTTGCCTGTGGCTGTTCAGTAGTAAAAGTCAGGGTGACAGTAGACAAAAGTGTTGAAATAAAAATACAAGGGAATGCCTCTATATTGTTCTTGCCATACTTTGATGTCTCCTTTTGATTAATACTGAGGAGGGGTACAGCAAAATGGAGTATAATTTTTTGAGATGTATTAATAGAGAGGGCAAGGTTTTGGCAATGATGACATCATTAATGAGTTGTCTTTGGAAACGCGTTTATCATAGGGATGAGAACTTATAAAAATGTGTGAATTTGCATAGTTTAGATTATTATATAAAGAGTAATATTTTGTGAGATATTGGACGACCATTCTCAACTTGTCACAACAATCTGCTATTTTTTTTAGCAGGTAATGTTGTGGTGGGGTGATATAGAATGCAAGTATATATAGCTGTACCAGCTATTAAAACCAGCCATTTTATGAAAGCCATTCATATTTATCAAAGAAAAGAGCATCCTAATTATCATAGTACTAAGTATACTTATTTACTTTATGTCTAAGCTGTTAAAAGATGCATGTACGGAAGGTTTGGCAATGGTGAGATAATTTTTTAACAAATTCATGTAACCAAAGTCCTTATCAAAACTTGTCATCATTGTCATTTATTGTTGATGTTGCTTTGATGAAATATATGTCTCTTTAATCTAGGCCATTTAGAGACATATCAGGGTAAATTTCTTAGGAGTGCAATGCTGTTTCTAGTTTTCTTCCTAGAGATATACAAGTTGTGAACATACAAAAACTAAAGATTTGTTGATGTCATACACTCAATCAAATTTTTCTGTGAAAATGAAGTACACATCTAAACTAATTTATAACTGTAGGATTTTACAATCAGAACAACCGTTTGTGTCACTAATGAGTATATTGGAGGATGAAATTTTGATCGTAGTAGCTTTACAAGTCCTAAATGGACTATTTGAATAGGGTAATTAGACAGTTTCAATTTTTATTGGAAGTCTTCATTCTTGATTTTCTCTATGTGGAAGGTGATTAAGCTTGTCTTATAAACCATAGACAAAAGAGGAAAACACCTTTTTGATTTTGTTAAGGATTTGATTTTAGTATTGAGTGGCACTAGTGTGTATACCTTAAAATCTTTTGTTGCAGTCACTGTGATAGGTATTACATCAGGGGTTACATATATCTAAAAATTACATATTACTTACTATAATTGTTGGCTTACTTATTGCAACCATGAAATGGGAAATGGTATGGAAGCTTAGACATTTATATTAAGGTTGATTCAATCATTTTCTTTGGTAAAACATGTGGGACTTAAAAATGCTGATTAAAAATGCTGATTAATAATGCATCCATTTGATTCCCCAAACAGTGAGGATGAAAGGTAAATCCTAAACTTTGGGTAAAAGTGACATTACTATGTTGCGAGGCAAGAGCAGTTCTAAGTTGGTAAATTTGTTTAAGGTGATATTAATAAAGTTATGTTCTCATAAAAGCAGCTACCTTCAGCACACTCCCAATTAATAAACACATTTATGTTGCTTTGGATCAGTTGCATATGAAGTCATTTGGTCAGTCATAAATTATGCTACATTTATACATACACACCTATTAAACATGTAGTTTTGCAATCTATATTTACCTACCTTGTTTGTGAGTGAAAATATGAAATGAGTGAGCTTGGGTGGAATATTTCCTTTACAAATAGATAGGGGAGATAAAAGTGATGATTTTTGTTCAGCTGAGAGGTACATATTATTTTGTAATCATGGGGTTAGAGCATTGTTTAGATCATTACCATGAGTTATTTGAAAGCTTTAGGCACAATAGCATCATGTTGAAGAAAAGAGTATTTTAGTTTATCTCAGATCCCCAACAGCTTCATGAGATATCTTGTTCATGAGAAACAGTCATCTGTGATCATCTAAATTTAGGTGCACCTCAAGGGTGATAAAAACCTAACTGATTGTCCTGAGCTAGTAGATTTCCCAGCAGGGGCAAGCTTGGGTAATAGTCTGGGCATGCTATTTTTAAATCCCAAAGGAAGGCAGGTTTATTTTCTACTGACCTAGTATTTCTGCATTAATAATCCCTTAAAACAAGTAACTAGTGAAAATGCCAGAACATCGTTTTCCAATTAATTTGTAGGTCATGATGCAAAACATAAATCAAGTAGACCATGGATTTCGATGACTTTTTCATTAATTGGTGAAGTAAATGGTAAAATAGACTGCTGTGACCACTTTGGATTAAATCCTTAAAGATGGTAGCAAGAGGCCTTAAGAGAACTAGTGAACTGCAGGTGACTGGCATTGGTTAAAACCACTGAATACAAGCAAAGCAAGTGCAAGAACTTAACCTTCAGTTTTAATTTTTTAATTAAAAAGGAAGATCAAATGTAGAAATCTCATTTTCAGAGTTGCTCTTTGAAGATATTTTTAAGAGGAAATAGCTCTTTTTTTCATTTATCATGATCTGAAACTTTTAAGGACACATAAGTAGGGAGAGAGCCCATTTGGTGTTTAGGTGGTAATTTAAACCTGGTTCCTTTAGCTTTTTATTATCAATGAATTTATGGAAAGGAATTGGAAAGGGAAGTTGTGCTGGTCCATTTTGCAGTTGAAATATGGGTGTTTACATATACTCACTGTGCACAACATCAAGGAAAAAATGGAAGAGGCATTTGTCAAATTTGTTCTGTTTGTTCAGGATGATAATGGAAAAGGCAACTTCATAAGGAAGCAAAGAAAGGGGGGGGGGGGGGGTACTCCATCTCTCTGTTTCAGTACAGGGACCTGGGTGCTTCCACTATTGTGGAATTTAGGGGAAAAATGCATCTTTAAGGAGCAATTTTTAGAGACCATCAATTTAAGAGTTGAAAAGTATAAAAAAAATCTTGTACTGGTTATTAGTACTGGCCATCTCAGAGGAAGTTAGTAAGATTAGGACAGTGTTAAACCCTAATGATTTCAATTGTTTGTCTCCTTTTTTTTGGTGTAAAATGGCTGCATGGTGTTTCTGATGTCAAGTGCACTAACTCTCCCTAGTAGTTCTTTCTGGTAGAGTGCAAAGTAATTTCTGATTCAACTTAAGCAATAGGATTTTCTTGAGGGGGTGGAGGAGGAGGTGGTTGATATAAACTTACATTGAGGTGGCCAGAAATAAAGTACTTAAAATGTGACATCCTTAGGCTTCCTGCTAATGACATATAAGGCATTGACTAAGACAGGCATGTCCAAGCATAAATTCATATATCAAGCACTCCCACACAATGACGTTTTTAACTTAGATAAAATAAACATTGTTTTGAATGCCTATTCCAGAGAAGTGTTAAGGAAAAATCATGAGATAATTTTCAGTTTCGGTCTTGTGTAATAATGAAGAAAGCAGAACACTGACCTATTCCTCTTTTTAATTGATTCCTGAATTTGGGGAAAATTTGTTCGATAATCTTGTGATTGTTTTTAAAAGATGAGACTGAAAGTCACATTTTATGTAACCCTTAAAAAACACCTGCTGATTCATACAAAATTGAAAAATTCTAAAAATAACTCATCACAAGAAAGGGTTTGTTTTTCAAATTAAATTTTGTATGGGGGCACCATACTGTCTGTTATCAAAACACCTCTCCTTGATAGGTTGCCTCCCCATGAATTTCCCTAAAGTAAGAGGAAAACAATTCATTAGTGAAAGATTCAAGACCTTAAAAATAAATGAAAATGGGGCAAAAGATCTATTTTTCATCCTCCAGTAATTTATCTTAGTAAATCCAGATTAAGAAATCAAAAGACAGATTTGACAGGCACAACTTTATTACTTCATTTCATTCTTTTCCATTCAGGCTTATTTCATAGTGAGAGAAAGTTGCTTTGTCATATCAGAGTAATTTCCTTTAAGTTCCTTTCTGTTGTTTTGAAACTTTTAATTTCTTAAACTTTAAATACCTTAACAGAGCTGTATCTTCAATAACCCTTATGGTTTCACTGCAATAAAACTAAGATAATCTTTATCTCTGGAAGTAGTTTCAAAACAAATCTATATATAAATATATAACCCTCACAGCTGCTCTCCAAATCAAATTAAAACACCAATATTTTTTACTTTAGTTACACAACACCCAGGCATCAAATAGTTGATGTAAAATATGTATCAACTAACAACACACTTGCATGTATGAACTCGAAACATATCGAAATATTCTTCCTTTCCGTAAATACCTTGTTAACAGTTTTTTTAATTTTATTTTGCTTCTTTTTTTCTTTTGCCATTCGCTATTAGAAACATAGAGAACACATATCTTCTAGGATTTTGAACACTTTGAAATCAACATGGAATAGATTCTTTTTCATTATATCACCTAAAAGTAATCATATCATGTTACTGTAGATAGAATGTAATCAAAATATGCAGTATCGGGTGTTGGTACATGTATATTCACATACAGATTCTTTTAATTACAGACTGACTTAAATAATAATAATTATAAGTTCTTCACAGAAGATACAAAGATGTCTGTGCATCGGTTTTACAAATGACTGCTTTAATGCCCAAGGTAATCTGCAGTTTTGAGCTAGAAAATATATTTCACATACATCACTCTTGGATAATCAACAGTCCTGTATATCAAGCTAAAAATGTAACATGCTCACTGATCTAAAAGATACACACAACTGACACCACCTCCCTTTTCATAAGTTAATCCCTTTCTACAGTAATAATGGTAGTTCTATCTTCTGGATGATTTTTCTTCCTGCTACAAAATGTTTGATAAAACATTCTTGATCCTTCTTAATCTTTCATCCAGTTTCTTTTTACAACATAGAGATTATGTAATCACTGTATTATTAACAAAGTCCAACCAAACTAAAAAAACTAGCAAGATAAAATACCAGCAGAGAAGAAAAAGATAAAACTGGTCTATAAAACATTACAGTAACTATGTTTCAACAATTTTAATGCCTTTCATCTGCATGCCAACATGAGCAGGGCACCCAAACCAAGCCCAGCAACAGCAGCGACATGCCAGCCTTTATTCCCATCTCCTGGAGATTCGTCGTCTCTGTTGAAGAAGGCAACGAAACCATCCTACAAAAAAAAAACAGAAGCATGTTACTTCACTCATATAGGAAAACCAATCACTCCTGCAATGGTAGTTTGTCCTGTTCTCTACACCGGTAAGTATCTAGATACGAGCCACAAAAGTAAAATGGAAAAAAACTTTTAGCAGCTATAAATATTCTTTCCATGCTTAACTGAACCTTTCCAGTCCATTCCATTTATTTATAAGAGATTCCTGGAATTTTTTACAATGGAAATCATTTCAAGTGTCTGTTTAAGGAGACCATCCAACAAAGGACTTGAAGAACATAGCAGTGCTCTCACCATACAATACGATATAAGTCAATTTAGTTGTGCTCCAGAGCACATACAATGTCACTAGGCAACATTTATGGCAAACATAAAGGAGCAGACCATTCCTGAACAGTGTTATAATGACCGAAAGTAACATAACTGTTCATCCGAGCATTCAACTTTCCTACTACATTAAGATAGCAGTGCTTATTATAACATCCTATGTACATCATGCTTTTGATGAGATCAGTGTTCAAAAGGAGAAAAAATTTTGACACATAAAAGAGGTTTCAAGACAGACATCTTTAAGTTGTAAGAAGGGCTTTCCCACCTATGGAATCTCAGCAATATAGTTGTAATATAAAAACTGCATGGTCGCACTAAGTATGGCTGCTTATATTTTTATATGTAGCGTCTGCAGCTGCTTTCTCCATTAGGTAAATATTGAGTGTGGTACAGAGGTCTGTTGTGGCTAAAAACCTTCAACTCAAACTACAGAAATATGGTCGAATTGATTCGCCTATAGGAAAAAAATTTGAACCAAAAAAATGTTGTTAATGCTGGAAGCCAACCAACTGTAACCTTGTCGCATATCAACTTGCTAGAGCATCGTTAAATCCTACCACGACACCGAGAATTGTAATTGAGGGGAAAAGGAAGGAAGCGATAAAAAAGAGAGTATTTAATCTGCATTGAATATCTCCCCAGAAATGTTACATATATGGAAATGGAGAGATTTCCGCCGCTTTCAAATGAAATTTTTCAAACATTTTTACGTCTAAGTACTAGCTGGAGGCCCCGATACACATCTTGGCGCCGACTAGATGATTCTGGCAATCTGTTAATTCAAATCTGTATTCCAAAACATTGAATTGGTAATTCAACGACTGGAACAACCAAGATCTGCCCCCACATATAGATTACTGAGCAACGTATTTCGAAAACTCTAGCTAGTCACATTATTTTTATAGCATATTTCGTATTCAACCCTCTTCATCAACAAAAACGAAAACAGTTTCTCTTGCCAGTGAGGAATAAAGTCCCCCGGGAAGTAAGAGCTATTCTTGAAAATACACGATCGAACGACACTGACGGGCAGGAAGAACTAAGGATTTTAAATTTATCTCACACAGAACTGAAATATTTCACTTTCTGGCGCAAAGGAACATTTGTGGATTTTTGTAATTTCCCTTAAATGGGCAAAAAATATTTCGAAGTAAGACCATCAAGAGGGATTCAACCGCTACCTTCCGTAAGAAGCTTACAATATTTAAGAAGAAATTTTCACGAAACCCTCCCAAGAATTTTCCAACCTTGTTAGATTTGTCGACAAAGTCACTGTCTATATTTTTTGATAATTTACTTCAAAGAGCAACGCAATCCTGTATTTTTTAAAAATATTTTCTACAATTTTACTATTTATAAAAGCGCGCCCTTCATCAAACCAGTCTTGTGTCAACAACGAGTGAATCAGCGATTTTTATACTCCACTGAGTACGTTTACTATACTAAGTATAACCTTATTCCTCTCTTTAAAATCTATAATACTCTCTGCGAAACAAATCTTCGCTGATAATTTTCCTATCCAAAATTACTCACCCATCCACCGTTGTCGTCGATCCATGGGCTAAGTTTTTCGTTCATGTACACGGAGACCCAGTCGACAATGTTGTCAATATTTGAAGCAAGATCCTCTTTTTGCGCACAATGTACAGCTAAAGTGGCCCCAAATGCCAGAAACGCCACTATGCGACCCCAGTTTTCACCATTCTGGAAAATTTCATCCGCAATTCCCACAAAGGTAGGATAAGTTGTGGCATGAGTGAGGTGAAGTTGGTCGCACATGGAATCAAACAATTGGCTGTTCTCTTCTATGAGTTCGTCTGCTACCCGTCGCAAATGACGGGCTGCCTTCGATGGAGGCAAATTCTCATGATATCCTGGCAAGAAAATGTTCTTCTGTCGAAGTCTGTAACCGACGTAGTCATTCACAATGTTGCGAAAAGATTGTAGTCTGTTCTCTTCGGCCATTTCAAACGGTCAGTTTTCACTAGCCCTGCTGAAGCTGCGTCTTCTATGAAATAGTACAATCAACTTGAGGTTCTGATCTCCACCAATCACGTCACTGGCTGCTATGAAAAGAATTAAATTTATTAGTTTATTAATGACGCAACAGAGATGTCCGTGTGTTTGACGTCTGTTTCCGGTGAGAGTGGTGGTCATGATACAAAATAAACCAGACCAGAGGAGAAACTTGCACAATGCACCACGCGTTTCTTTTTCTTAATTCGAAAGACTAGAGGCCAAAGGCGTTAGCACAAGCATGTGATGACGTCGTTTTTCTTGAACACTTCTTGCACACAGAATAATGTATTAAATTCAACACGACAGCTCATAAAACGACAAAAATAATTTCGATTTTGTTTTCAGTTAGTCCAGGATCTTTCCTAGTATGGTATTTGATGTGATATGCGTGTAAAACTAATTTCGTTAGAGTTAAGTTTACTGCGTACGTGATAAAATTCGCGTGGAGCTATTTAAAATACAGCGTCACAATAGCTGGGCGGTAAGAGGTCAAATAAGAGGTGTGCAAGCTTGCAGAAATGCAGAGCGAAGCAGAAATTTATCGTGTTTTAAATTGATTGCTTCTTGATCCGCTACTGTTACGCAGTTAAAATAGGGTTTAAACATAATTTAAAGTTAGTAGAGGCAGTAACCAAGATTTTGTTACTGTCGAGAGATCGCATAATGGCTTTTTATGGAAATTTACCAAACCCGGGTTACCGAACTTGTGCCAATCTCGGGAACCAATTTTGGCGTTTTCTAAACATAACTCGAGAAATACTGTTCAAAAATAAATATATTTCCAACAAGTGAATTTTTTCAATTTGGCCTTCTACGCAATAGATAGCGGTACATTCAAATATAAGGCATTTGATAACGAGCTTTTATATCAGAAGGAATGACAAATTATGCAAAAAAAAAAAAAACGCAAATGAGTTGTTGCCCTCCTACTCTAGAGGCAATGAGTTTACTCAGGCCTCGTCAACACGCAAGCACGTGTGTATTTTCGCTAAAACGGCATCCTCCGTTGCTTTATTGCAACGTAACATTTTGAAAGAGAAATAAATATAATTTCTATAGAGATTTCTTAACGAAGGTTTGACTCTGAGAATTCAGATAAATTTGTTGATTTCGTGCGAATTTCTAAGTTTTGGTAAACACTGTAAATACTTGTCAATCAGTGCGTTAAATCGCGTGAGTCACATGCGTGCCCATGTCACAACTTGTTCCGTTTTCTTTGCTTTTATTATCATTGCTCTTTTAGATTGAAAATAAAGATTCATTGCTATTTTTTTTCATCATCACGTATTGATGGCTACCCCTCCCCCTTCCCCCCCCCTCCCCGACCTCGATTTTGATCACATACAGAAATTTACATCATCAGGGATTTATTTTTGAGAAGACTGTTTTTTATGATGTTTTGCAGTATTTTTTTTCTAAAAAACTAGTTAGCCTTTGCACAACAAAAAGATGCTTTGGAAATTGAGGGAAAATTCCATCCCATGCTTATTTTGCTTAGATCTCGATATCTGATCGAGAACTGCGTTACTTATTTATAGAATCCAAAACAGTTCGTGGGTGTTGTTGGTGCCTCTTCGTCTTAAGCGGTTTTTCCGTTTTTTTCTTTTCTCTGTTTATGAATTAGTTCCGGATCGGAAAGCTGTATTGAACCTTCTAATGTAGAAACAGTTACAAAAAGATTGTAATTTGCATGAAGAAGATTGTTTGTCGTACCCCACACATGCAGTGTCAAATGTAGGGCACGCGACTGACTTAAAGGTGACAAGAGCCAGGATCTACGAAAACGAGAGAGTTTTTCTTTTTCGCTTGGTCAAAATAGATATGTAACAAACAATCGATGTTCTATGAGAGTATTTCCGTTTATTATAACAAAAAAGCATGATAAAATTTTTGCTAGAATCATCGTCTGCGTTATACTGTCAACTTGATGACCGATACAATAATGCATACGTCAGCATGAAGGTTAAAAAATCTCAACGATTCGAGAAATCCCATCTTATCTTAATTATAACTTTGATATCAGACCTTAATATCGTTGGAGTCGAGAAGCTATGCAGACCTGCTGAGGGACTTTAATTGTATCGAGATTCATACCTTCATACCCGTCATTCCACGATGAGTAATTTTTCATCTATGGACACCATAATTTCGTTTTCTGTTTCTGCCTTGACGTTTTGATAATAATGTTCATTGATTAATGTCATGGTATTTACTCCTACGTCCATACACCAAATCTCGAGTGCGTGCATATCTTTTAGCCTGGAACAGAATTGCTTTCGCGCACTTCAACTGATTTTGTCTTAAAGTCTCGATATTGCATCATTTACCTCATTCATAAAAGGGACGCTTCACCCATCAATCTGAAAGCGAGATGTGTAATCGGTTTCAACTATTGCTTGTTTCCCCAAAATAATTCCCTAACCTGTAAACGCGGAAACGGTCACTAGATTCGAACTGTATGACTTCAATACCAGACGGAGCCGTGTTACGGAAATAGTTTAAGCTTAGCATACTCTGGCCTGTCATCTTGAGCTTTAGAGGAACTCTATGATGTTGTCGATCATGTCTTGTAATTTTGTTCCGGCCTTGCTGAAAATATGCTGTTCATTCGCAGAAGTTGCACTCTGAACTCTTTGTAGGGGACATCTCATTATTATCACTGTTTTTTTTTAGAATATTTTTCTCCGAAGGAATTAAAACCGATCATTTTAATTTGTTTGCGAAGCGGCTGAAATCGAATCGACCAATGCAATTGAATAGAAAATCCGGGGAATACTGCATTGGAATGCTTCCAGTATTTTGAATGGTGATAAATTGATGACAAAAATGTTTAGTTGCTATGACAGTAATTAAAGTATGTTTATCTCAATTAATTAATTTCGTATTAAGGTGTATTTACCTGTTATTTTTGATATTAAAGAATAGTGTCAGCCGACTTTGATTTAGACTTTGCCTTCATGTTAATATCAAAACCATCTTCAACAAAACTGTGCGTAAAAAGCGTTCCTGACATTGCTGGCCGAAAAGTATATAGCCTCTCGGTTTTTCCTTCGACCCCTATTTTCTGTACTAACTTCAAATTTATAGGACGATAATGCTGATTTTTTTGAGATGTACAACGCTTTTGTTATATAAAACTTTTTAGTTTTGTATTGTACTCTTTATATTTTCCGATTTACGTACTTGAACTCGGTGAAGGTTACATTTTTATTAGGTTAACTTTTACTGAGTTGTTACTCTTGATGAAAATGCGATTGCATTAACCATTTCCTTGGTTGATTGAACTATCTTGGTCGAGAACTTAAAACGTTTTGCAAGTGAGGCTTAACCTAGTTTTCCATTCAACACACCATTGAATTAATCCAGTCATGATAGTGGTCAAAGATTTTTTTGGAAAGCATTAGATGACACGGCTTTGAATTATGCGTTGAACAAACAACGGGATCAAACAATCCGACATAACTGATGAAGCATGAGTTGCACGAAATTGCTTGATTACTCACCTCTGCGATCAGCTCGCCAGACTTTCGCATAAACCTTCTCTTAAAAAGGAATGACTTGCAATGCTAACACCTAAAATATTGCTGTGAAATACTCCGCAATTGTTCAATTTACGTCAGAACTCTTTCCTTACTCACAGTCTGAGAGCTAATGATTTTCACTCAGCAGATGCAATTAACATTAAACACTAAACCGCCGCCTCACGCGAACTTAACTGAGCATTGAGTCATAAGATAAGAATTTCCGGTACTCTTTTTTATGCAGGCCAATACAGATCACGGATTCTGACCTTGTTTGTAATAGAAAATGATTTCAGGGAAAGACCTTGTACAATTAATGTTTACTTCCTTTCCAGTGTCAAAGCAATCCCGCGGTACTCACGATTTTCAGTTTTAGTTTAAGAAGGTTTGACAATGGTTCTGAGTTGTTTGCCTACATTCCTTGAGAAAACGTATCACAAACATTGATAATTTACAAACAAGTTATGTCATAAACACACAAACTAATTTTGCTGGTGTGGTACAATTCAGTACCTTCGCTCCACAAGAAGCATTTTGTATTACGTTCCGGTCACTGAAGGGTAAGGACCTTGAGGGAAAGTCCCTTTCTCGAGAAGCGTGTTTATAAAATTATTTTTTTCGTTCTCTGCAAATAGTAAGGTAAAGTAGTTTTAATTACAAAACGTACAAACTCTTTGCTAACCTCAACAAAAGGTGGACTCCGATAAAAAGTAAGAAAGCAAGGGCTTCAATTTGCAGAGAGAGGGCCTCTCTGAACAAAGTTCTGAGGAGTTCCCTTGTCTCCTTCTAGCTTACTTCTTCAACAAAATTTCCATCTCTGGCTACCTGGCCATAATTTCTTAAGGAGCGAGCAAACTTATCCACCAGCCTTAGTGGAAAATAAATTGGTTCTGTTTTGATTCTATGAGATAAGATAAAGATCATTCTCAACTGTCGGGCCTTGACTCTAAGTCGCTGACCCCAATCTTCTCTGAATTATACTTCTTCTCAATTCATTCGTAAAGAACTCACAACTATTCCAAGAATGAATAATAAAAAATAAAATTTTCAAATAAATTGAATCAAATTTATGAAAAGAATGATACTTTTAATCTATCGCGATCTTTCAGTGCCACTGCCACCCATCCCTGGCACAGCACTCCGTGGATTCTGATCGAGGCGCCTGTTTGAATACACAGATATCATCGTAAAGAGAGAGGAGGCCTTGGAAAGGGCACTAAATAGTATTTCTTCTCAGTGAAATAGTTTAAAAAAAAAAGGGAAATGAAAGTCAGGCTATGGTCATTGAAAGGTTTGTCAGGAAATGCTTTTTAATACTTGGGACAAAAATTTCTTTTAATATTAATATTACTGATTGTCACGATTGTTTTATGTGTCAGAAAGAAAGTTGTCTACAAACCGAAGCGCTAAACCCAGAGTCGAAGTGACATGCATCCGACACATCCGTGACGTGGGGGACCCACTTCGCCCGTTTTGGCTGTCCTCCAACCGGTGAATAAGAAACAATCAGCCCCTTAGAACTATATGGGCACCTGTTCAATGTGTGGTTTTACAACTTAATTGAACGTGATGGGTAGTGATGTGCTGTCACAACTTAGGAAAACGTGACATTTGCTGACATTAGACAAGTGGCACCAACACATGCTGACTCATCAGTTATTCAAGTCAATTGTGTCTGTTTCCTTGTTCAAAGTCACGAGTGTCCCGGTAAATACAACGCGTGACCAGGCGGGAACTTCTTGTTTAAACGAAGGGCCTTTTGCCAAAAAGGTGCATGAATCAGTCATAAGGGAAGATGTATCTTTCTATTCTTTTTTTACTGAGTCGGTCAAGTACGCAAAGGAATGTAACCCGGTACTTCTCTTAGGTAAAGGTACCTGTTACGGAACGTGCCTTTGTGGTTGACTTTGATGCATAAACTTTTGTTTTATTCTTCAACGTCCCGGAAAAATCAGTGTTCCTCTTATCACGTAGAGCCAGCTGGAAAAAAGGGACATCGTAACAGTACGTGATTTGATCGCAGCATATTACTCTGTTGGAAAGCTAGGCTCAACTTGGGTTTGTACACATGGGATAAGTTTTTAAAGAAACTGTGGTGCTGCGTCGGTGGGAGAGTATAACAGGGTAATTTAGTGTTGTCAATTGAGTTGACAGCGTAAATTGGCCACCGTAAAGACTTTCAAAGCTGACATTGCGATCGTTAGCCCTTAGTCTTTCGCTTTGATGAAGGGCTAACGCTCGAAACGTCAGCTTTGAAACTCTTTATGGTGACCAATTTACGTTATCAACTCAGTTGATAATACTTAATTACCCTGGGGTTTGTACACGTTTGAGACCACCCTTCTCTTTTCATATGTTATTTTAACCTCCTGTTATGTGCACATCGTTTTAATCTTTTAAGTTTAAAAGTAAATATTACAGCTCATTGATTTGTTTAAGAAATAGACCCCATTTTCCATCAGTTTACGGGCGTAATAACCCATTGAGGATGTTGGAAGAACACTTGAAAAGTTTGTAAATCCCTCACCTCTGGCTTGTGATTTACAAATTATTTTTTTGAGTATAAAATAATCGCCAATTTTTCCATGAGTTCAGCGGAACAATAAACGATTTGTTTCCGGCCGATCAAGGCCTTCGTAGTTTATCAATTATTTTCCAAAATATGTTGGAGGGGACCAGATCTACTACTTTAATGATGAAAAGCTACAATATTCATTCTGGTATGGACAGTTAATGTTTCAACCTGTCAGTTTCAATTCAGTAACTCAACCGCAAACGAGGTTGTTGCTCAAGTTCTGACAGGAGATTGACAGTCCTTCATAGCCATCAAAGTATCACCAATCATTAGTTTATGCTCCCGTCATTCTTTGCGCAGTATATTGTAACCAAACTGCTCACGTGCATGTAGACGATTAGCATATGTTCCTTCTACCAAGTAAACATTTCGCTGCCGTTTGTAGTGTGCATGGCCTAAATAAACCAAAATAAACAATACAAAAACGACAAGGCACAATTTTATCGAAAAAAAGCTCAAGTTTAAACAATAGAACGTTTACAATAGTACAGGTTATAAGTCGTTATAGGCAATTGGGCATTAACAATCTACAAAAAGAGCAAATAGTTCGTTTTCGGAGAAGAAGTACGTACCTGTAGAAACAGGGTAGGTTCTTCTTCTCCAAAAACTTAGTTTCCAGTTGATATATGGAAGTAGGTGGCCTACTTTCATAAATTAATTGAAAACTACTCAGTATTCAAGGTACACTACTGGAATAAGTTATGGACAAACAATAGCCACAATAAAAGCATTACCAGCTTCAAACAAGTCTGGTGTGGCTTCATTACGAGAATAGCAAAGACACCCAATTCATGGTGCTGAATCAATAGCCTAGAAATTCCAGGAAGAAATGCCAAGAGTGGTATTAGGTCAAAAGTGTCAAGACTGAAAATAATTAGTTAGCTTCCTAATCAAAAGCACCCGCGGAAAAAAAGTAGAATATACTTTAAAATGAATCGATATTGGCCTGTACATTAAGTTGGTTGTATCCGTTCACACAAAAAATCGATATACCAAAAGACCAATGTCTCAATTTCTATTTCTAATTTAGGTTTCCCACACCTATATTCATAAAAGCGGATATCGAATACAAAGCACTTCCTATGATATCAAGCTTGTGCGTTTTTGGCATTTTAAAATAAACATGAGCAGTCATTCTACTTCTTGTTTTGATGACAACGGCAATTTTTTGAAACACCTGCCTATTCAAAAGGTGTAGTACAATATCCTAAGAAAACTTTAAAACAAGTTCAAGCGCAAAAGACAAATTGGAATTGAATTTCAAAAAGTTCAAATCACTTCAAAAGATCCTGCAATTTTATTTTGTTTTACAATTGAACTAGACACTGTAAAAAAAGTCCCGTGGTGTGATTATCACGGAGGGGAGTGGAGGAGGAGGGCATTTAATCGACATTTAATCAGCAAGTTACCGCATTTCCTCTGAATAAACGCCCACGCTCTGATAAACGCCCTCCCCCGAGTAAGTGCTCACCTTGTAGGGTCATAATGTCAAACACGCGCTCCCCTCAAATAGGCAGCCCCCCGTCATCAGCTCGATTACTTTCTTTTGACCTGTTTCTATTGTTCCATTAATTTCTTAGTAGTTATTTAGGCTGGTAATAGACCCAACTGAAACGGTTACGGTTTCTGACAAAATCTTCTCAGAAATCTATAGAAAACCCGCCAGAACTTCGCACCCAGATTCCTACCTAGAAGACGACACAATTTTGATGAACAAATAAATAAAAGTGGGAAAAAAATTTGAATTAGATCGATACCAGTGTTATAGAGCATTAAGCATGGGTCTTGACCATTTCGAGCCCCAGGCCCATCGAACCCGTATCAAGCTTTATAGCTTTAAGTTATTGACGAGGAGAGGGGCTGGGGTCTGAGACCAAATTTTAGAGAGAATGAATAAATGACGAGAGGTTATTCAGATCCTCGCCGTCTTTAGCACAGGCTAAGGCTATACAGAAAGCATGAAAGTGTAAGTGATAAAGCAACGAGAAAATAATCTTACGAACAGGCTTCAGATGCGAGGGCCGAGGAAGAATTCGCCTGGACTGAAACTGTGGCGGGAAAGGGCTGCTGGGGTAGGGGGTGGTAGAAGTGGAAATCATCGAGAGCGGCCTCCTTTTCTCTTCCCTCCTCTTTACCCTTACCCACTCCTCTCTCTCTTCTTTCTTTCCCGTTTCCTCTTCGCCCTATCTAGATAGAGAGCCTGTCCACAGGCTACGATTGTACTTGAAACATATTTCAAAGACAAATATCCTTGCTCAGTGGTGCTGTTTTTCTCGAGTTTGAGTGGAGGAGCTTTAGAGTGACCACCTATTGAGGAGAGCAGAAAAATTGATACTTATTTTCTGTTAAGACCTCTTCAATGTGAGTACCCTAAAAATATAAAAATTTTTCGGTAGTTTGATGGTCTGGTGAGTAGATCTGCGACATTCTTATTAATTTGGGGAACCGTGACTGCGGCGCCAAAAACCTACCTCGCTTTTTCACTCCGCCGCCTCTATCGCGCATCTATCGCGCTTCTATGGCGCTTCTGTCGCCGCCTCTATCGCTCTCGTAGACTGGAACAGGCCACGAGAACGATAGCCTGGAACAGGCTATGAGAGGTAAAGAAAGACAGCAGTGGTCGTCTTTTCAGTAATATGAATATTAAAACTGCCATCGTCTTTTTTTAATAATACTGAATTAAACAGCTTATTTGAAAATTTCAACCAAAACCCGAATATAAAAAATAATAAGCGTTACTGAAGGATACGGTTCTTTCAACAGCTGCAAGTTCCGCTGTATTTTTTTGTTTTGTTTTGTTTTGTTTTTTATTTATTTACTGACAAAAAAATCGCAGTTATAATTAAAACTATGTTATATTACGAAGGAACAACTCGGTAACGACTAAAAATAGTCTGCTCAATTTTCTCGTAGAAGATCAGAACCCGGCTAAATAATTTATTTCCTTTTATCCAATCACACAACACCTTGAGCTAATTATGCAAGATGGCGTCAATTCGTTGTGTACGGTGGATATGTCGTTACTTGTTAGGAGATTTTGCTTTGTACAGCAAAACTTGGAGGTGATCGATGGAACGTTGGTATAGATAGCCCTTGGAATTAATTTGAATTATATTTCCTCGAGACTGGAGGTTAGTATTCATAAGTTCATGTATAACATGTGTTTCTCTTCCAATGATAGATAAACACATGCGATATGCAAAATCTCCCCCAATTGTCTTTTCACGTGGCCATTGTGAAGTTTCAGTTCGCCCACTGGCCTTCTTGCTAGCGATTTCTTCAGTGTTTTATCTCGCATGGCGAGAAATGATAGAAACTGAAAGACATCGAAGGGAATTTTAACGGCCTCGAAACCATAGGACTAGCTTACAGTGGTCATACGAGTATCGTATTGAGGTAACATAATGATGTGATATTGAGATCAATTTTGAAGTTTATTCATTTAACCGGTTAGACGAGCTGTTTTATACTCCACAATCTTAAATAATATAACGTCTTTAGCCTAACTTATTCAATCCTAAGTCACGGGGTGCTATTTGGTGGCACGATCTTTAAAAACTTTCTCAAGATCCAACAGAGACGCTTGACTTGTGTTTGGGATTTCACAATGTTACCTGACCATGCAAGTTGACATAACAAGCTAGATATTTTAAAAATAAACTTAGACTTTTGCGATGATTCAAAAATTTCTTTTTGCCTCTTTGTAGGGCGATACACACTAACATCTCGAAAATCAATGTTGTTTCTCGTTGGTAGAGAATTTACAGTTAATAACAGCCCCCACCGGATGATTCGATGTTGAAATGTTTTTAGGGTAGTTTTATTATGCATATTATTTCATGTTCGGAGTTATTATTTAACGTTTGCGAAACGTTTATTTTTCGCCATATGGGGGATCGATCCCTCTCTTTACAATCTCATCAAATAAGGTTCTCTTTTATTATAAAACACTCGTATGTCTGAACCTTTCCCTTGCTCTTATCGAGTGGTTTGCATTATGTTTTTGAGGACACCGGCGAATAATCTACGGAGTCACATGTCCACTGCATTGTTTAAAACAAACACATCACAATGAGCCACATGTACCTTTTCTAAAAAAGATTTATTCCCTCTAATATGGCACCACCTTCTGTTAGGGCACAGTTGAATGATCAGGAAAGATAAGTGAATTGTAGAATGTTATCACTCCTCAAATACGTACGTGATCTGCACAATATTTTTGTTCATCTTGTTTTATCTCCTATTTTTAAATTGTTGGTGTATTAAGTAAAGTAGATGAAACTTCATGTTGAAGAACCCTGTTACATATGATTTGGAAACTTTCCTCAGTGTAGATAAATTAAGTTTACAAAGTTAATTTAGTACATGTTTTGTTTGTAATGTTTTTTTTTTCCAGCAGACATTTAAATTTTATTCAATTAGGGAAGGATCTAACAAAGCTAGTAATTATACACTCTTACTGAGTTATGCAAAGTTGCTTCTTTCCTGTTGAAATAAATTTTGAGGTTGTTATGTCTGAAATAGTGCTTGTATTGCTCAAGCAGACCTGCAAGTCCAAATTGTAAATTTGTTGGGAAAGTTTTGTGGTGTGGGAGGACATGTCACAATTATTTTGAGAGTGCATTTGGTTTTTTTCTTCAATTGAATATTATGCAAATTTAAGAACTAAATATGGCAAGTAGATTGAAATATTGTTGTTTTTTAAACATGTGAAGTTTTGTATGGGAACAGATGAATGATCAATTATATTGTCATGTTTAGTGGCAGCTGTTACATTTGCATTCAAAGCTTTTCCTGGAGACATTTGGCCAAATGGATTATGAGATTATGATCACTAACAAATATTGTTATAAATGTGAAAATTAGGTGTGTGGAATCTTGGTTGAGAGCAAAGAAATTTTTAGTTAGTTTTATTGAACTAATTATCCTTACATACAACTAAATAGATATCATTTTTCACCATTGATCATGTCATGTTGGTGGAAATGTTAAAAGTCTAATTTGTATGTATGAAATAACAGTTAGGAGGAATATGTGGTGAGTACAATCTGCATTGAAACTTTGTATTCAATGTGAACTCGTCTTGGTCAAAGGTAGTTTGTTTGGATCAAGAGATGGTTGAGGGTCAGTGTTTGGTCTAAATTTTATAACTAAACTCTGTGTCTTTTGTTTGAAAATTATGGTTTTTTCACTTTATATATGTTGTTTTTTTATTAACTTTCTTTGTTTTGTCTTTTTTTTGTTTTTGAACCCTTGATATTTGGTCAGTTCAAGATAGAATTATGTGAACTGTGGCAGATACGTGATAAAATCTCAATGGATTTCATCTTTCTCTTGGAGAGTATTTGTAGTTCTAAACATTATCAAAAAGTACTGTTATGTATCATTTAATACTCTGAATAGAAGTAGATTATGCTCAGATCATTTGTGGTAATCAAAGTTGCTATTTCAATCGACAGGAAACTGTTGTGTCTTTTGTATGTTTCCTAACCTTGCAAATTTGGGAAAAGTGTTCTCAAAAGGTATTTTGTCTTTCTTTTGTCTTACAGAGTTGATCTGCCTGTGGAAAGTGTAGATCAAAGATGGCTCGGGGTAGAAGCAGTGTTGGTAAAGACAAGGAAAAGGAGAAAGAGAAGGACAGTGACCGCCAGCCAGATCCAAAATATGCTCTTTGGATAATTGCTGCTATTGGTAAAGTTAAGGGACAAAAGCAACGTCCAAGTGAAGACAGAATTGCTCACATTCTGGAAAATGTTTATGGCTTAGAACAACAAGAGGCCTTGGAACAGCTAGAACTGTGTGTAAAGACAGGGAGAGTTCTGAAGGTAGTTTTTAAAAACAAAGCATCATACAAAGACCCTGCAAAAGTACCAGCTCACATGCGAGGTATTGTTGAAAAACCCACCGATCTCCAAGGGTTCATCAAAGAAGCTCTTGAGAATATTGGGGATGAAAATGGTTGCACGCAACAAGCGATTCATAATTATATAGTGGACCATCATGCTGCAAGTTTAGAATCCACTGGAAATGCTCGGATTAAAGAGTCTCTCAAGAAAGGACTTGCTTCTGGAGTTTTCATCAAGGAAGGCAGATATTACAGGCTAGCAACACCACCTAAGGTATAGACAAACTATAATCTTGTGTGTTTTGAACATTTGTATATTTAAAAAAAAGACGGCATGAAAACTTCAAATCTTTTTGTACAATTTGTTGGATTGTACTTGCAAACGATGAAGTGATAATTAAAAAAAGTTTCAAATCAAAATATAAATAGCTATTAGAAAATGAAGAGAATTATTTTCACAAAAGAGAGTTTATGGTTTACTTTGTTATTAAAAATGAGTGACTTTTATGCATATGTTTATTCAGCTTTTGAATGTTTGTTTGTGAAAACACATGGGAAAATGTACAGTGTGAAAGTTTCTATCAGCTTTAAGAAGAGTGGGCATATACAGTTGTTTGAAAATCTGTAGTGAATGCAATATTTACACCTTATTTAATGGTTTAACATATACATGTAATGCATGTGGATATTTTGCTTGTTGTGTTATAATGAGTTCGCACAATGAGCAAAATGTCCACTCTTATTTTATTTTAAGCCATTGAATAAGAGATTTATTATTCCACTACTATTTCATTTTTTCTAGTCATTTGGCTTTTACATGTAGTTTTCAAATTACATCCTACATGTACAGTCTATCTGAGCATAGTATTGCGTGCATAAGGTCTGCATGAAAATACAAAAACAACATTAACTAGACTACCCAAGAATTCTATATGTGCTCAAAAGTTCATTGCTTTGATAGTCAAGCATAAAAAAGTGAATAAAACGAAAGTTTAGATTTTTCAGTGGAGCCATTTTTTTGCTTTGCTTTCTGTTTGTATTTTTGCCCTGTTCTACAGTTTTGGGCATTCTCATGACCTTATTTGTTAAAATGATGTAGCTGTGGAATAGTAATTACATGTAAGACAATAATCCTTGTATAATTAATAAAGTCATATCCAAATTTAGGAGTTATTGGATATTGATATACTGGGAATTCTTCTTGAAAGTAACAAGGTACATGAAGTTAACTTAGGTTTTTCTCCGATAAAAGCAGTTGTATTAAATATGAAAGTCATACAAATGGCTGTATTGTTTTTTTAAACATGACTTGAATTTTTGAAGGTAAACACTGTTAAATGTGAGAGTAAACTGTATTTCATGGCATTTTCAGCCTAAGAAAAAGAAAGTTGATGCCAGCACATATTGTGGCTTTTGCCTTGGAACAGCAGAACGCAATAAAGATGGTGTAGGAGAAGAGCTAATCTCCTGTGCAGATTGTGGAAACAGTGGTAAGTCTCCATTGGAAAACCTACATGTATGCCCCATTCACACTAGCAAAACTAGTTTAGTCAACAGTATTTAATCGGATGAAGATCAGAAACAGAGAACTGAAGAACTGAATTTTCAATAGGCTTTAAAAAGTCACTAGCTTGTATTTTCAATGTGCTAAATTTGAAGTCAACAAACATCAGTTTTAGCAGTTTCCATGAAGAAAACAATTTTCACCGTGTTTAAGCATGGGAGTGAATGGGCTACAAGATGACTTGGTTTCTTTTATCATTCTTTACTGAAAAATGTAAAAGGTTGACTAAAAATATATCATTGATAGTTATGTGAGTTGAGTTGTGTTTTGTTTTGTTTCAAGGTCACCCATCATGTTTGAAGTACTCTCCTGAGCTGACAGCTCGAATTAAACAAGAACCTTGGCAATGCATTGAGTGTAAAGTGTGCTTTGTATGTCAAGATGCTGGCAATGCTGTAAGAATTGATTCTATTCCTTCAAATGTTACTTTGAATTTAAATGTAACTATGGTTGATCACTGAATTTAATTTGCACAGATGTACATTATGTAATCACACTAACGTAGTGAGATAGTTGTGAGCATAGCATAATTTTCTAGATATACATGTACTCACTGAGTTTCTCAGATGTTGATGTAGGAGCTTATAATCTAACATGAACTCTGACTAGAATTATATATTATTTCCTTGTAATGTAAGTGACAGTCTCCAAAGTCAGTCAACCAGTTAGTAGGTCATTTGGCTCACCCTATGTAAGGTAAAGAATTGCCACTTTGCTATGTACTAAATGACATATTTTGCCTTCTTGTGATCTAATATTTCCCAGAATTAGTTGATTCTGTCAAAGATCAGCAAAATGCTCTTATGTTTCCCTAGCAATATTTGCTCCATGTACATACATTTGCCTTAATAAAGTCTCACAGTAGTCTCAAAATTATCGATTTTAGATATGATCCCACTGCTTTTAACATACACCATATACCAGTACCTTTCATTGATTTTCTGGACAATCTCTTTTCTCATTTCAGGATAACCTGTTGTTTTGTGATGCGTGTGACAAAGGATTTCATATGGAATGTCTTAGTCCTCCAATGAAAGAAACCCCCACAGGTAGTGACTCTTTAAATCACTAATAGGGTATATTCATTTTTCTGTTTCTGTTCAAAAGTAATCCAAATTACCTGTTAAATGTGTCATAGTGGGGCAGTTAACTTTTGGTATAAAGATATAAAGATAATCAGACCAAATAAGTGGTTATGTTCTTTTACATGTCACTCTAGGAAGTTGTTTTCGTTTTGCTTGTAGGAAGCTGGGTTTGTGCAAAATGTAAGGTGAAAACTCCTGGCCGACGAAAGAAAGGACAAGTTGAAACACCTATTACCAGTCCACCGCGCAGAAAAATTCAACCTCAGGCAACAGCTGAAGTTCAAGGGTGAGTATTTGAAACCAGCACTTAGACTTTTTAACCCTTTAACTCCCACAAGTGACCAAGACAGAATTTCTCCTTACAATATCAATGCAATATTAAACAAGTAAGTGATGAGAATTGAGAAAAATTTCAATTTGGGGATAATCAGTTGATCCAATACTAAATTCTCTGAACTAACATCATGAATTGCATGGTTGACATTAAGGAGAATTTCAAATTTGATCTGGGAGTTAAAGGGTTACCTTTGAGGGTGAGCTAACTCGCATTTGCTACCTACTGGGTTTTTTTTGAAATACTGTACTCTACCTCAGGCATTGGAATGTTTATGTTGACATCAGTAGACAATGTGATGTATACATGTAGCAGAATTTTAACCCATAAAAGTGCAAAATAAAGAGTCCAATTGTTTTCTTTCTCTGTGCTGATTGCAAATTGTTTCTATTTGTTGAACAGATCAAGTGTATGCCCAACACCTGGATGTGATGGGTCAGGACATGTTAATGGACGATTCACATCTCACCGAAGGTACATACAACAGAACTGTTGTTCATTTTGTTTATGTAAGATTATTTTTAATGCCTCAGGTTGCTGTGCTCATACAAAGTTCATTAATGGAACATTCATTCCCCTTCCCCCTCTCACTAATTATAGTTCTGTCTATTTGTGCATAAACAGCATTTGTGAACACTTCCTGAAGAGGTATTATATGAATTGCTGGGTACATCTTGTTTGTTAAGTTATGTTGATAAAATTGTATTCACAGTGAGAACAGTAAGAACAAGTACACTGTATGGGTTAGAGCAGTGATGTTTAACTGTTGTGGCAAATGCCTTAGAAAGTCAAAACCCTCATAGACCTTTCTAAACAAAATTGACATCTACATCTTATGTTATTTTGATATTTTCCCCTCTCCCTATGGCATTAAAGCTCGCCTACCAGTAGCACTCTTCACAAAATCATCAAACACCAAGGCCTGTTATGGATATTTTACTTCATGTGTAATGGATGTGTTTTGAGTTTCAACTTATACCCTTTTTTTCAAGTTCTGTGCTTGAGTAAAATTTTACAATAACAAACACATACTTGTAGGGATGCCAAAGCATTTCTATTCAAAACTCTTTTTACCCCAACATCTGTATACATGCTCCCCATACTGTGTTCTATACATTTCTTATGGTGCTGACATGGAGAACTGCTCTTTTATCAAGAGCTTCTTTATTTGGTGATCCTTTTCTTTATTCTCTTGACTTAATGTGTGATTTATCACTGATGCTGTAAGGAGAAATTAGATGCCAATCACTCTTAGGTTTTAAGGGTTTAAGTATAGGTTAGGTTACTTACTTTTAGATTTTATTGTGTTGCAGTCTTCCAGCTTGTCCAATTGCAAATGAGTCCAAAAAATTTGACGATGATGCCAAAGCTGCTGATGAAACTCCTAAGAGGAGACCTGGTAGACCTCCAGCCTCCAGTAAATCAACACCGATGACTCCACTCTCCCCTATATCTCCAAGGAAACAGCAACAATTACCACCAGGTCAGTCTATTCAGAAATTTTGGGTGATGGTCCTTTGAACTTTGATTGACAATTTGACGTAGTGGAGGGGCTCTCTGTGGCTTTTAACCCTTTAACTTCCATGAGTGACCAAGACAGAATTTCTCCTTACAATATCAATACAATATCAATCAGACAGGTGATGAGAATGAAAAAAATACAAGTTTGAGGATTTTCTGGTTCATCCAGTACCAAATTCTCAGAAATAGCATTGTAAGAATTGTGTGGCAGACAGTAAGGAGAATTTTTAATGAGATCTTGAGTGTTAAAGGGTTTTAAAAAGAATATGTGAATTCTACATGTGAGCTTCTGTAGACAGGCCATATTGCATCAAATTTGTCGTGGGTGTTATGTGTCAAAATGCATTCAAGGTGTTGTCAGAGAATGACCTTAAGTATGTGCCTTTTATGATGGTTGCATTTTTCAGTGCGCAACCTTTAAGTGTGTATGTGTTGCCTCAAAGGTAAATAGCAAGTGTCTCAAGAGTCTACCAAAATTAATGCTGCCAGTGTTTTTTATTTGTCTATCGGCAGGAGTAACAGAGGAAGATCTGGCCTTGTTCAAACAGGCTCAGGAGAAAGCAAATGCTGCCATGAACCTTGATACATCCACCACCCTTGTGCCAAGTACTCGCTCACCTCCACTGATCCAGTTTGGTCGTTACGAGATTGTTACTTGGTATTCTTCACCATATCCTCAAGAATATGCCAGGTAATTTAGTACATGTGGGTATCTGCTGTTGAATTACACCCTGTGCATGTATGTTTACTGCTTTGTTATAGAGCAGTTTCCATTTGCGTGTTGAAAGGATTGCCAAATTGTTTTTTCTATTTGCTCCACACTGTGATTGGTCTGGAAATCTTGCCCCACCATCTCAACAATCCAAATGCAGAACTGAGACCAACTATGAGTTGTCCACTTGTATTTTTTCATTCTTCAGGCAGTTTGCTTGGTTTTGGTTTGGGTATTTATTAGCTTCTCTTTACTTTTCCTTGCTCTGACTGCTGGTTGTGATCACTTGGTTTTGTTCTCTCAGCATTCAATAAAAAAGAGATACATGTATTTAGGACAGTCACTTGATGTGATAGCAGGATGGAAGAGGGAAGGGGTAGAGGCAAGTTACACAAGACTTGCATTTTTTGACATGTACATGTGCAGTTTTATTGAAAATGAAATGTGATCAGGTATTGGATAAATGGATCAGAGGAAGATGGATTGGACCATAAAATCCAGAGGTCTGAGTGTGGAATCGAAATGGGGAAATGAAATTTCTTCTTTGTCTCATGCTCATAACAAATAGATATACCTATCTGTTTAAAATATCAATACCCCTTGTCATGTAGCTTTTTCATAGTTTGCTGAAAATGTGTATCAGATTGAAAAGGTATGGGTCTGTAATAATTGTTAACCCTTTAACTCCCATGAGTGACCAGAACAGAATTTCTCCTTACCAAAATTAATACAATATCAAGCAGGCAAGTGATAAGAATAGAGAAAAATATCAATTAGGGAATTATCAGTTGATCCAATACCAAATTCTCGGAAGTAACATTGTAAAAATTGAATGGCAAACTGTGAGGAGAACTACTAGTCATCATCATCATAGGGGTTTTTCATGTGTGTAATTTTTTCATGTTTGAAGAGCATGGGCCACTTTCATTGCCATCGTGGATCCACTTGTTGAAGTCAGTTTTGTTATACTTTGAGATCATGGGAGTGAAAAGGTCAAAGCCCCCAGAAGTCAACCATATTGACTATATTATTCCTGGATGATCGTTGCCTTTAAATTTAGATACCACATTTGCTTGTAATTTATTCTTTTCAAATGATGACATTTTCCTGTCTGTCTTGCAGGCTTCCCAAACTATACCTGTGTGAGTTTTGTCTCAAGTACATGAAGAGTACCAGCATTCTTATGCGCCACATGGTAATTAAAACATGCGTGCAACGACCATTATTTTCAAGTTGTTATTCTATTTCACTGTGAGATCAAAAATCTTTACTTTCTTGTTTTTGTAGACAAAGTGTAAATGGTTTCATCCTCCAGCAAACGAAATTTACCGCAAAGGTGAAATCTCTGTGTTTGAGGTGGATGGTGCAGTTAACAAGGTGAGTGCACTGAAAAACCTTTCAGAATTTTATCAGTCAGCACGTTTCATCTTTTTCAGCATCACTTTTTGATGTAAATTATTCCTGTACTTGGACAGTTGTGCGATCCTGCCCCTGTCACCCGTAGTTTCTAATTTCTTTTCTCTTGAATAATATATTTTATTGTTTGCTTTTTTTTTAATCTCACGGGCGTTGCCTCGCATGGATCCCTGTGTCCCGTTAGCACCAGCCCTTTTGGGTTCACGACTTTTTTTTCCTAAATAGCTCTCTCAATAATTGTACTTGCTTTATCTTTTATTTTCGATTTATATCGTGTATTGTATTATTGTACAAGTAGTATACGAGTCATACACAGTAAAGCTGTTAAAAAAAAAAAAACAAAAAAAAACACTTCGTTCCATGTAGATGTGCGCGACCGTGTTAAAACGATATCTGTTAGTATTTGCGTGTACATGTGGTGGTTAAAGTTTGAAAAGCTCACTTATTTCAAAGAGCTCAACTAGCATGGTTAAAGCAATTGTGTAATTGTGTTGGGAATGAGTCGTAATAGTACAAGATTCTGGATCAAAAGTTCAGGGCTTTGTCTTTTTTTTGGCAAGGGGCTTAATGCCATAGTGTCTTACTGCACCCAAGAATATTTTTACAATTCGCCTGGTGGCTGCGTACGATAGAGCATTAAACAGTTTCTTCGTTTGATTGAAACAGGGATGCATTCCGGCATAAATAGAAATTAGCAACATTTTATTGACTTGATACAACACTGAAATCAGGTTTTTCTCCTGTTTGTAGCGTTTCCTTCCCAAGTCAACTCTTTCTGTTTCGTTCACACAGATCTATTGTCAGAACCTCTGCCTATTAGCCAAGCTCTTCCTTGATCATAAGACGCTGTACTATGATGTGGAGCCATTCCTGTTTTATGTCCTAACGAAGAACGACAAAAAGGGCTGTCATTTGGTAGGATATTTCTCAAAGGTCAGTTTTCCAAATTGTGAGATTAGACTTAAGTAATGGTGACATTTTTTCATTTCTGCCTGATATCATAATGAGAAGCATTTTTAATAAAAAGAGAAAAATGTCGCAAAACAATGATATTACTTAATGCTCAGAAAGACATACTCAGCTAATCTGTAATCATTTTCATTTCCTCAGGAAAAGTCTTGTCAACAGAAGTACAACGTGTCATGTATTATGACAATGCCCCACTATCAAAGACAAGGGTTTGGCCGACTGCTCATTGACTTTAGTAAGTCCTATTTATTGGTCATACAGCAGCATTTATTCCTCTTACTGGGTCATAGTTTGGGTGCCTTTCTTTGCTAGACCCGGATCGAGACGTTGGGTGTCAAGCCAAGGACGGAGAAGTCTTTTTTTATTGAGCAATGTACTTACATGTAATCCTCATCTCCGGTACCATACATGTACTTCTTTGCATGACTGGTACACTGGTACTGAGAGTTTATACGAGGAAAATATGAACTCATCCAAAATTGTGTCATTAAAAATATGTGGCAGACATTGAGAATTCAAGCAGAGATTTTAGGGTTCAGCATTGCATAATCTTTGCCAAATTTCCCTGTTTTCCCAGAGATATTATTTTAAAAGGTAGTGAATTGTGTTTCTGCTGACTTTTCACTTAGGAGAGAAATAAGTTCTTGATATACCCTTTGAAACAGCCAAAATATATAGATTTTCTTTATCAAAATAAAAATTGCCTTCACAGGTTACCTCTTGTCGAGAATCGAAGGCCAGCCGGGCTCCCCTGAGAAGCCATTGTCAGACCTTGGCTTGATCAGTTATCGTAGCTACTGGAAAAGTGTTTTACTGGAGTATTTGCACGATCACAAGGAAAAGCATGTCACCATAAGAGGTGAGTGAAGCAGGGAATTATTCTTGAGCTCCACGCAGTTTTCTTCTTGTGTTTGCAGGTGGAAGAAGCGACTATCCTATTCACAAAGTTCTCGTCACACTTTACTTAATGCTTTAAGAATTAAGATGATTTTCTATGAAATCCATCTCTTGTATAGTAAGACAATAAGCGACACTCGTAACCACGATTAGCCTTACTCCTTGAAAGATGAGTTTTAAAGGCCATATTATCAGAAGATGTTGAGTTGTAGAAGTGTCTCGTTCATAAAGCAGCATCTAGCAGACAGCTTAGTTGTTTACTTGCTTGGGACATTCAAGTTGCACATCTAGCTTGCCAGGCTGGGGTTCGGTAAGAATGCGACATGTAACGCGAGTGCGAGATGCCAGTTTAGATCGCTCATCTGGTTTCTACAACCAGAAGCACTGTTACATAGGACACTTGTCGTGTACCGTATATCGGAGCGACTAGTTCTCGGCAGCTTAATGAAGAGTGCATCCGATTATGAAATAAGAAGTTCTCGGGACAAATGTTTGACATCTGACTTTTCTAGGGTTTTTATGTTGCTGTCTTAACTGTGTACACTTTTGCAGGGATCAGTAAGTCGACTGGAATGGATCCACACGACATTGCTGCCACTCTTCAGATACTCAACATGGTGCACAAAAAGGATGGAAAGTAAGTTTACTAACCTGGTGAGGTCTGGTTTGACAGTGAATCTGTGGGAAGAGACGTGTGCATGGGCAGATTTACGAATTCAAGTCTTCCCAATGCTTCTGTTTTTATCATTAGCAAAAAACTATGCCTTATCGGGCAATGTTATGAAATCTCGAGTTTTTATTTGCGACGTGCCAAATTACGTCCAGCTTGAAGCAGAGTACAGAATATTAGTTCGGTGAGATAGAAGAGGCAATGATAAACCAAGGGAAGGTGAGGATGGTTTAAAGTGGAGAAGATTCATAGTGATTCAGTGTGTAAGACGAACGTAATGGGTTAAGGTTAAATTTGTTATGGTGCGCAAACCATCACGCAGCTCTTTGTGGGCTTTGGCTTCAGAATTTCAGTTGCTTAGCATTGTAAATGATTGAAACGTTGATCTTGTTGACCTGCAGGTTTGTGCTATGTGTTAACCAACGCTTGATCAACACTCACATGGAAAAATTACGAATGAGTGCTCGCATCACCTTGGACCCTGACGCACTCAGATGGACTCCCTTGGTGCACACTAACCTGGCGCTCGTCGATAAAGAGAACGAAGCTGCAAACGGACATCTCGAAGGCGGAAAGAACGGTACAGCAGACAACAAGGATGGCTCGGCGGACGCTGGTGATCGGCAAGTAGACGTGCTCAACGACAGTCATGTGGACAAATCGAAAGATGGATTGGTTATAAACGGCATTGCTGAATATGAAGACGAAAGTGCCTCCGAGGATGATGATGAGGGACCGATTATTCGGCCGAGAAAGCGCCGACGAAGTAATACGCTTTCCGACAGCGGCTCGGATAAAACTGAGGAGAAGGTAACAGACGAAGCGGGAGTGTTGAAGAACGAGGATAAAACGAACAAGGAATTAGCTGGTTTTGACACTACAACAAGTGGAAAGCTGAACAGTGCAGAGGGCGAAAGTGGGATCATCAAGAAGAAAATGAAGCTGAACGATGAAGAGTCGAGCGCCGAAGCCAGCGACGACTCAGCTGATAATTCAGATTCCGAAGATTCCTCCTCCTCATCGTCGTCGTCATCTTCGTCCTCATCTGAAGACAGTGATAATGGCGAACCTATGGACCATACCGAAGATAACCCTTCAAGAGAAAACGAAGACTCCCGCAAATGTTCCGAAGATGGCTCAAGCGAGTCTTCGTCCGAGATTAACAACTCCCCGGCGGGCGTCTACTCGGGATTTGGGAGTCAGTTGGATAATAGAAATCCCTTAGAGACTTTAGCAGATATGGACTCTGCCTTCCCGAGATTGTCACCAACAAGTTTCGAGTGTAAGGAGAGTAACAGGTCGGACTCTATGGCCGTAGATCAAGATATGAACCCGGTGGTTGATTTCCCAGATACAGATAGCACAGCTCTTATTAAAGAACTGTCTGAGGAAGTGTTCTCGATCGGCGCCACGCCTTCTCTTGGAGGCCAGCATTCTTCCGACGACGAAATTTGAGTACGGTGTTAGCCTGGTGTGCTTTTTTGGCAGTGCAATTCTTTTCTTTTGTAAAAAATGCTGATTTTCTTGAATAATGCTATTCTCTTTTGAAGTCCTTTTACTCTTATATTAAAACCCTTGTTTTCCATTCAGGTGAAATTAAGATAGATTAATAAAAACATATGTACATTTATGGAACAGTTTAAACTAAACTTTGTTATGCTCCATTTGAAACTTCAAGTTATCGATGCAAACATAATTAATCTTTTATCGTTTGTTCTCATTTTGTATTGATAGTGGAAGTGTAGAAATGACAACTTAACAAGTAAAGCGTAATTTAAACTAGGAAGATAAGTTTTTGTTTTTTTTTTTCGCAGTCAGGTGTTTTCCTTGTGCAACATCTTCATGTAAATTTGTTAAGTAACGTAACGTGGTTTGGCGCATGATTCCTCATTTGTATAAAAAAGTAAAAATTAGTAAAGCCTTTTTGGATGAAACCTTTTGTAATGAACGCATTGTTGGATGAATATTGTAAATTTGGTTGATGAGTAGTTATTAATATATCACAGAGATTATATGTTGGAGTGTCGGCTGTTTGATCAAATTTTTTAGAAACGCAAAACGAGGAGTTCTCTTGGTGGATCATGTGTTGCGAAGGCTAAAACTCAAGATCAGCAGATTGGGTAGACAATAAATATTTTTCACGTCCCAATTCAGTCGGCGGCCAACAATGGCGTCTGCGACAGCCAAAGATATTCCCGATATCCTGCTCTAGAGGCGAAAGAAGCTAAACAGCTAAGTTTAAAGTGTAATAAACCTAAAGATGCGGATCAACGGAGTCTTGCTTTAGAACTAGGCCGCGAGCAGGCTCTGACTAGTGCTATGCTCAGCGCCTAAGGCACGAGTATTAATGATACTTTGTCTGCCAGCTAGTCTGTCGCGGTTGTGCTGTGTTAACCGCGGCGCCTGTATTTGGGGACATGCTGGCCGGCCAAGTCGTATTTTTCATTTTGTTTTCGTTGCCGATCGAATCGTCACAATTTCATTCATGGCCATCATTTTATTTTTCCGGCAATAGAAAATACCACAAATATACATAAAGTGTTTGCGTAGTGGTAAATAGTTTTTCGAGTTTCTTTTTTATGGCATGTAAACCGTAGACCGAAACAGTAGAGACTTGTTAGAAAATCAATAACTTTCCTCACCAGAGTGTGGGATCGTAGACAAGTTAGTTAACAGGTTGCAGCCAATGACGGGCATGTATCTTTTATATTATGTGCGTGTTAGATATTTATAGAAAAGGAAAAAAAACAAAGATAAGTAGAAGAGACAAAATAAGTTGTGTGGATGTTAATTGCAAGATGCTTATTCGACCTCTTTTGTCACCTCGTTATGCTGTGAGGCCTACGAGGCGCCAACTCAACTAGACACATCATGGTGTGTCGGGCAGAAGTACATGCCATCAGGTATGACATAGAGATTAATTGGTGCGGCTTTCGATATGAGAAGACTTTATGGATGAAAGCATCAAAACCTTTCAGTAAACAGCGCAGGCAGATGTTCACAAAGTTGCTGAGGAGCATGAAGATAGTATCTCGGCGATCAAAATTGAAGCGATATCATGATCGTGTTGGCTGTTTTTGATGTTGATTTTTATGTTGATAAGCCCGACAGAGCGCTTTACTAACGCCATTTGGTCTTAACAATTGAAAGGTTTGGTAAAGAAATTACTCTTCTTTAATTTTTAATCATTTAGAAAAGTTTGGTAAAGAAATTACTCTTCTCTTCTTTAAGTTTTAATCATTTAGTAAAGATGAAAATTTTAGCAGGCAGGCAGCTGGAGTTTTCTTTTAAGATCTTTTTAAGTGCCAAGGTGATGCAATTAAAGCTTGAATGTTCATCTCGGTTTTCAACTCCAACGATTTCCAGAATTTATGCTTTTACCCGATCAAGGAAAGGCTGCCTCCAAAGGCGCTTGTACAGCAACATTATGTAAATATAATCGCTATTGCAAAAATAAACTGTAAATGACTAAGTGGAATTATATATAGAAACAACACCTTAAGCAAAGGCTTTTCAAAGAACATAGCAATGCTTAGTATCGTTATTTTATAGTTCACCTAACCGAGCACTCAAAATTCTCCTTAGCTGAGAGTGTATGTTAAGCTTTATTAATGTTTTTCCTTCAACAATTTTTTTATTTTTATTTCCCTTTTGTAAATTTGCATGTTAATTTGAGATTTCGAGTTAAACACTTGAAATTCAAACTACTAGAAAGAAGTGGCGAGAGCGAACGAGTATTTATATTCCGTCGTTAACGGACACAGCTTAGTCATCCCCAAAAAGAAGAAATATCATCCAAAAATAATATATGAATTAATGAACAAATTAGTAAAAACCGAAGAATGAAGAGTTTTTCTATTTCGTTATTAGCGTTTTTTTTTTTTTGGTCGATATTTCACCGGATGCAGAATTAATTACTGCCTATTACCTGTCTGAATCGATCATACATGTTAATTTTCATTAATCTGGCAGACTAGTCTAACAAGCCTTCAAAGTGTTTATTCTACTGAATACTGACTTAAATATTTAGAGAACATTTTCTTGACAAAGCAGCGGCGCGTTTGTAGCGGACTTGCCAAACTTCATCGTTTTAGTTTTTAGACTTCCAATGTTCGTTATTTCTGTTATATTTAGTCTTTTTCTTATACATTAACGAAATTGGTTTAAAAATCCGCTATTCTTCTACACAAACTTTGTTACAATTTTGTTTGGGCGCTCAATATGGAAATATTGATGCTGTATAAAAAAGACATTTTTAAGGAATATTATTTGGGCCGAGAAATTATTCACAATTTATTTTCATGAGCGTGGCCAAAAAAAAATGGCAAAAATGATGAAAAAAGATAGAAAAAGTCAAAATGATAATTCACTGTCCTTTAAGATGAAAAATAAATGAGAGCAGTTCATAAAATTCATATTATTCTTTCTTCACAAGCGCCCGCGATGGGTGGACATTTATTATGCTGGTTTTGTTTGCATTGTTATGTAAACGTTAGTTGGATAGAAAAGCTGTTAAGCAGACCTCACAAAAACTCGTGACGGACTCATCATTAAAGCTATGGGTTTCTAATTCATGGGGTGTGAGAACAATCGTAGACATGAGCCACCTTCTTCGGGATATTTCGGGTAAGTGAATCGATCGGAACGACGAAGGAAATGAAACAACATCTAGAATAATTTGTTGAAGGTCGTGATCGAATTTTCTTTTAGAATCAATATTCACCCCCCAAATTTTCTCTTTATTAAAAATATTTCTGAGCAAAAGAACTGTTGACATAACATCTTGGGGATCACTGTTAGGAGAAAGCGTTTTATTTGAGTTTTGGGCTAATAAGCGGTAGCGAAATCACATTGTCACTCCCAAAGAGAAATCAGAACTTACTGCGGCTACTTAGTGCGATAGTTCGACATCCCCAGTCGACTGAAGTTATTCCCCCAATATAGAAGGGTTATAGTGTATTTATTTGCCTTAATTCAATTCTGATTTCCCGATCTTTCTTCTGTGTAATATTTCATTAGAAGAGCTTATTTCAAAGGGGTAAAATATCGAAAACTTTATGGCGCACGTTTCTCATAGTTTGGCCAAACGACACTGCTTAACGCATCGTATTCGGAAATGCAGGCGTTATTACAGTTTTTTATGCAAATTTACACGAATCAAAATATTCATCCCCTCTCTCACATACGACACTTTGTGATTTTTAATTCAGTATCCAATTTCTAATGCTACATTTAAATAAGCAATAGAATGTGTAGTACACGCTCGACAGCTTCCCACAAAAACGAAAAATTGTGTGCATTATTGTTTAAGACCGACGGTTTTCCGTAATATACCGCATACGTAGGAAATCCCGTTTATTGTGCTGTGTTTGTATTGAATTTAGAGGCGACACACCACAAAACCACAACTAGTTATGACAGTAGTAATTGCATGAAACGACAATTGTACTTTTTTTTAATGCAAATCATGTATCATTAAGCTCAAACAGAGATGTCAAGACTTAAAATCATGCTTTGACAGCTGTGCCATTTCGAATAATAGGTCTCTTTCTTGTCCATCAAGTCGCGTTTTCTCTAGTGGACGCGTTTATCTAACAAATCAGGTTTGCGTATTTTCTGTCGCTGGAGAGAGTATTGGATTTGGGAAATTTTGAAACACTACACGAAACGTGTATTCCGAGGGGTCATCTCTGAGGTTACAGAAATCCCATGAAGCCTAGGCAACGCTTACTGGTGATCACTATCCATCAATAAGAACAAAACAGGAGGATTTGAAGAGATTTTAATTTTTTTATGCTGGTATATCGGCACTGCTTACGAGAGTGTGCTTTCGAACTTCGAGGGGAGCCATGTAAATTAACAGGAAGTCACTCAAAATACTTCTGTTCTCATCCTAAGAAATAAGATTGGGAAGGTAAGTGTTTTCGACATTGTTCCTTGTATGTTTCCCTTTATCTCCTGTTCTTCTCAATTTCAAAGCTCATTCTGCGTCAGAATATGACCGAACATCTCATTCGCCCTTGAAAGCAAGTGCTAATGACCAAATTTGTTCTTCAAATCAAACGGAAAGCGAGTATGTGTACACTGATAACGCGAAGCGGAAGGCTCCGATTAATGGCTTCACTTCAATCGCATGTCGGAAGAAATTTGCGCTCTCTCGAACAAGCAACAGTTTTGAAAGTTCGCTCATTCGTTTGTTCAAGTTCGTTTCGACGAAAAAATGTTAGAGATATTAATTGGTATGGCAAACGTTCTATTTTTCTTTTTTTAGAAATTTAATTTTTTGTGTTTAGTCAATATACTTTTGTGCGCTTTTGATATCACACACATATTGTTATAGGAGAATTAATTACACGAAAATTTGCAATGTGCTGAGTTCTTCAGAGTTCTGCACACTAATTGTAGTGCGTAGTGTATAGTGTAACTGATGTGTAGGCAACAATTGCTCTTAAAATAAACAATTTTCAACTCCCACGGGCGAGTGAGTGGCAGTTTACTATTATTATTATTATTATTAACAATAGTATTACTACATTTGTAATTTTCTGGCGCAGTTACCAGTTTGTTTCGAAGATTTCATATCAAACTAGATATAAACAGCAGGTATAATAGGAAAAAAAAGCTTTCAAATGATTAACTTAAGACTGAAATATTTGGCACGTACTGGCATATTCAAGATTCTTTTCTCCGCTCTTCAGTTGTTGTAATACGTTTTCATTGGTCTACAAAATTTAATAGTACGTCTTATTATTTATCTCGGATGATCTCTTTAGTGATATTTGTGGGTCGTGTTTATCTGTCTTTATACAGATACAAATGGACATTCATAAAGGAAAAGAGATGAAAAAAAATTAGTGTATTCGCCACCGTGCATTCACGCGTGGGCCATGTATAATCGAGAAACCGCAAGTTCGAGTCGATTGTGGATCACGCAGGTCGCATTTTCGGAAGCGCTCACGTAAAGAAGTTCTTTGGGACATTTTTAAACTGAAATAGGAACGAAAATCCCTAAAA